GACACACAGTGCAGCTGTACGGTTTCTCCTTGGTGTGCCAGCGCATGTGAACCTCCAGCTGACAGGCAAAGCTAAAGCCCTTCCCACACTCCTCACAGCTGTGCCACCTCTTGATGCCCTGGCTGGGGAGGGTGGGGCGAGGCAGCGGCGACCTCAGCGACCTCACGTTCTTTATCTGCAGGAAGTGTGTGTTCTGTTTTCCATTGGAGCGAAGTGATCCTCTCACTTGCCGCTCTGCTCTCTGAGTCCTGTCACTCTGTGCAGCTCTGTTGTAAGACTCTTTCTGAGCCTCGCTGCACTCTATGTCACCAGTCACCAAAGATGCCGAGCTGTCGACTAATGGCTGTTTCCCGTCGCCCTCTGTGTTGTTTTGCATCGGTGTGAGTTGTGTTGACGGGACGGTGTGTCTGCTGCTCACCGTCTCTGCTAGTGGAGGACGTAACCTCTGCAGCAGCTCAGACTGACTGCACTTACCTTCTTCTGACATCTTTGCTACATGTGAACAATCTGCTGTAAAGTTTCCCTGAGCGGGTTCTTCTTTAACCTGGGGCAGCAGCTGCACACTGCTCATCCCCTCATGAGGCTGCCTGTCATCCTGAGGCTGCAGGGCTGGAGATTCTATCAAACCAACGCCACAGTTATACTTTGAAGAGAAGAGATAAAACATTGTCCTGTCATTGAAAGTCTCATCTTACCCGTTCTTACAGAGCTCTCTTCTTCAGAGTCTCTTTTTTCATGTAAACATTCTGCTTGGGTTCTTCTTAGGCCTGGTTCTTCTTTCACCTGGAACAGAAGCTCCATGCTGCTCCTCCTCTCACAGCGCTGACTGTCATCAAGGGGCTGGAGCACAGACAGTTCTGCAGAATGACCATAGTCAGAGTTGTACTCGGTTCATGAATTAATCAGAAATTAAACTACTTGCATATCAAACACACAGCTGTTATTCAAAATACATAATCTTCAAACATCTTTGCACTAAAAGTGATTGGACACCATGAGATGTCCACGAACATAGTGCCCATGTATTTATGTTATTATTTGTTTATTATTTTTATTAGAAGCATTTCGAAATTCACACAAATAAAACCTAAAAATAAAATAAATTCCATTCACATGGTGGTACCTTTCCCATAACAAGAGCAGAACCTTTACCTTCACCTGTAGAAAACATATGTCTGTGATGACCTCCCTCCATGACCTGTGTATTTATTCATCTCACTGTTCATAACAAAAATGACAAGGGGAGAAGGGTAGATTCAAGTTGTGCTGTAGCGTCAAAGAGACATGCTTAAATCGAAGCTAAAATGAAGATTATAATCTCCCCATGAACAGTTCCCGGCCCTTCAGAAAGTTCTACTTCAAAGCAGAAAACTTGTTACGGCCTGTTCAGTTTCTGTTGTCTATTCCGTTGGGTGAGAATGTGCATCATGTTTTTGGCTGCGTGAAAAACACAAGTGGACAGTGATGCATTGATTTAAGTACAAATTTTGAATGAGCTCTGATGATGACGTCAGGTCACAGAGGTCACGGCTTCTCTTCGACCTCCGTCCTCGACACGCGATTCAAGCATTTTATTTACAACAACAAAAGATATCTACATGTGAAAAGGTGACGGGAAAGAAGAAAAAAAAAAACTTGATGCAAGTTATGATAAAGTCAAAGGATGGGAAGTCGGAAAAAGAAAACGTCCCGTAGCTCCTGATCAAGGTCAGCACAGAGTGTGTGAAACGCCTCAGAACGTACGACTTATTGGGGGTACAAAGTACAAAGCGATAGAATACCGCATGCATGTGCTCCACACACACACACACACACACATTCGTGCACTCAAACATTCACACACCTTTTCCATTTGATAGCAATAGAAAAAGTCACAGAGTCCTCCTGCTGCTAGTAAGTAAAGTGAAGTAAAGTAAAGTGAAAGTGATTTATTGTCATTGCGAGACAAAGTAAGTAAAGTGAAGTAAAGTAAAGTTAAAGTGATTTATTGTCATTGTGAGACAGCACACAACGAAACGTGGCCTCTGCCTTTAACCCATCACCATGGTGAGCAGGTAGCAGCTCAAGGTATGCCATGCTCAGAGCACCTCGGTGGCACCTGGTGACTGGTGGATTCTAACCTGCAACCTTTCGGACCCCAGTCCGCCTTCTTAGCTCTATGTTTTATTGTCATGAAAGTGACTACAATCACAACAGGTTTTCCATCAGGTAATAACTACAACTTCAAGTGGTTCATGAACACATTTTCACCCAGGTGAATAGAACTCTGTCAGAGGTCAGAAGGTCAGGTTGTGGATACCTGTTTTACCATAAACACTATATGCAGGTGTTCCACTTAAGGATTACCGTCGTGCTATTTACGCCTTGGTCTCAGCAAAACACGCGGTTTTAACCAAAACACGCCTTTAACATGGTTTGCTCCAAACCTGCGCTTCACTGTGGGGGCGTGGTTTATCTCAGGGGGCGTGTCTTTGTGCGTCTGAGTCTGTAGATCTGCAGTAGAGCGTTTGTTGCCAGGCTTTGACTGGACTTGCGCTCATGGCCCGGTGTTCGGTGTTGTTGTTCGGACTGTGGTGGTCTGTGGCAGCATTATGTCTGTGTCTCTGCCCGGCACAGAAAACGTATTTTCCTCCTACACTGAACATCAGTCTGGATGAAGATCCAGAGTTGCGCTGGAATCCTCTGCTCACTGTGTTTGACACAGACTTCCTGAAGAAAGCTGCAGCTGAGATCATCGAGTGAGTTATCACTGCCACCACTAGGGGCACACCGCTACTGCTTAAACCGAAGCACACTGAGAAAAGTGCTTCATTACGTCTTTACTAAGTTTACGGATAAACACTTCAGTATCTTAAAGTTTTCACTCTCTATTTCACTGTGACCATTAATGTTTAAAAACAATAGATTTAAATATTAGATTTATTTAGATTTAAATAATATTTAGATCAAAATATTACGGCTTACGACAGACGAATAAATGTAGTATTTATAATGTATTCAATTCATGGTTTGTGGCGTAACTAAGAATGCTGATTGTTTTACGGCAATTTTGCGACATCATCTTGGCGTACTGTGGCTACGCGGGTGTGTGGTCAACTGACAAGTTAGTTCGGCGACACAGAACGAAATTATATAAAACATTTCAGTTGCTGATCCTGCACCAGATTTGTTGGACTGTAGACGAGAGGACCCCGAACCAGCTTTACACCATGCTTAGTAAAAATCATATTGTTTCAGTTGTCATATATATTTCAGATGACATGATCAGACAGTACAACTGTTTTGTTGTTTATTTTTTCTCCTGCCAGCTCTACAGTTCCAAAGTGGGTCCACCATGCAGTTGCCCCAGTGGTTAAGGTCTTGGATTTGTTCATTCCTCAACCATACGCTGGGGAGATCCGCGGTTTGGCGTCACATTTTGGAGGCAGCCTGTCTGACATCATCATTCTAAACTTTGCTTACGAAATGACTGCGTATGTCGACGTTCTAATCAGCATATGAACAAAAGCCCTCCATTGGTGTTTGAACAGAATGTTCTCAGATGATCTATGTCCATTTTCAGATTCTGCACCAGCATCGTAGCTCAGGACACAAAGGGAAACATTTACCACGGCAGAAATCTGGATTATCCACATAACATTTTGAGGAATCTGACTATCAATGTGATTTTCCAAAAGAATGGAGTGGTAAGGTGACCATCGTCGTTTATTAGAGTTCTCCCTTCATATGCTACTCCACCAAGACACCTGAGTGTTCATGATCGTTTGTTCAGGTGTTGTACCAGGGAACTACCTTTGCTGGCTACATCGGTCTGTGGACCGCACAGAGTCCAAACAAGTTCACTGTTTCTGGAGATCAGCGAGGTTAGTTCATGCTCTACATCTGGAGAAATCTTTCAGCGTTCCTTTCCTGCAGAAAAGGCACCTGACTGACTAAAAACAGTGATAGTAAAAGTTTTGGATGAGTTCTGGTGATGATTCCTTTAAAAGAAAGTGATACGGTGTGGCAGCAAATTATTTATTTTGGTGCTCCTCACATTTAGAACTTAGTAGTGAAAATATAGTGTGTCTGAGCCTGGATACATACAGTAAGTGCATCAGGAAAGGAGTAAAATTGTGTCAAATCACAGATGAGGTAATCTGCTGGGCTTTATTCGTCGTAACATCCGTGTTGACCTGTAAATCTTCATCTAGAGTTTGTGAAGGAATTCAATTTCAGGTTTTTTTTATAAGGTGTTTAAACTGTTGGACTCATGGGTTTTTTCTGCTTGAAATCCACAGGGAGTGAACACTGGAGGAACTGGTGGAAGAATGCTGTGTCTGCTTTACTCCTGCGGAGGTCACCTGTCAGCTGGTTAGTGAGGGAGGTGAGTTAGTGATACAGTGGATATAAACCAAGAAGAAATCAGAGAAATGAGTGTGAACTCACCGTGTATAACTTTGTTTAGACAATGGAGGTGGCCGAGGATTTTAAGGACGCAGTGATGCGTCTCTCTAAAATCCCTATCATCACTGGGGTGTATTACATCGTTGGCGGAGTGAGGGCCGGGGAGGGGGTCGTCATTACCAGAGACCGAAAAGGTCCTGCTGACATTTGGCCCCTGGAACCAGTAAATGGAGAGTAAGCAAAATAATCCATCAGACCGGGTGTGTGTGTGTGTTTCAGTGTGATAACAGTATGTTTTTAATGTGTTGTCACTGGTTCAGATGGTTCAGAGTTGAGACCAACTATGACCACTGGCGTCCTCCCCCAGAGATGGACCATCGCAGGTGTGTAGTCTCAGCTTCACAGATGGCACATACACTTTGTGCAGTTACAATAGAACTAAAACCACCTGTTTATTTGTTCATTTCTCAGAGAAATGGCCAACAAGGCCCTGAACGCTACAGGCCAAGTGAACATCAACATGGACACACTTTATCAGGCAGGTTTGGATCAAAGTCCGGGAGATAATCAGAGTAAAACTTTATTGAACATTTGTCTCAGTCAAACATATACATATGGATTAGTGTTTTTTTTTTTATTTTTCACTTCCAGGTTTTGTCGCTGTTTCCAGTGTGTAACGGGTGAGTTCAGTTTAAGTAGACAGAAATCAGGTAATGTTTGAAACCTCTTGACCCACAGAATCACATGACACTTCACGCTGCAGTGATGGGGCAGTGTGTTTGCACAGAGCAGTTTCAGTTCCTGCAGCTCAGCCTCAGCTGTCCAGTCAATCGGCCATTGTTTGACACAACACACAGAAGAACAACAGTGGAGTTCACGTCTGTGGATGGATGTTGTACAGTTCTTGTCTGACACATTTACAGCTTTATTTTCTATCATTATTATCTCACAGAATCACTGTTTACACAACAACTATGAGTGCCGCCCACCCACAGAGGTTCACTTCCCGTGTCAGACCACAGGTTAGACAGGATCTCCTGGATTTCTTCTCTAATCTTTTTGTCTAACATTATAAAACTTTAGAAATTTTATTTGTCCTCTGTGTTGTCTTCCCAGGACTGCAGACCAACGTGACCACAGTCAGGAACACCGGATATTTGAACACAACAAATGATGTGACATTAGAGCTAAATGTTTGTTATAATCAAAACTAATCTTCTGTTTTTAATTATATAAAATGTAATTTTAATACCTTTTTATGTCGATTTTAATAAAAATTTAAAATGAAGATTGTGCAGATGGAATATGGTGTGAAAAGTTTGAGAATTGTTGAATGAGTGTACAGATCTGAACGACCGCGTTAGGAGTGAACAGCAGATGGCAGCAGAGACGCCCGTTTCATGTGCCAAACAAACAGATCGTAGTAGAAGAAGAACAACGTCAGGAGATCACATGACATGACACAGCAGCTCCAGCAACTTCCTCTGTGTGTGTATGTGTGTGAGGACACTTGACAACATTAGACAGTTGAACGTCCAGAGCAGCCGCAGCGTCTGCTGTGTCATCTCCAACATGTTGGCCCTCATCAACAGACTCCTGGACTGGTTCAGGTCCCTCTTCTGGAAGGAGGAGATGGAGCTGACGTTGGTCGGACTTCAGTCCTCCGGAAAAACCACGTTCGTTAACGTCATTGCGGTGAGTCTTTGAGGAAGAATATCGAGCCTCGGAGCCTTGGGCCCGGACTTCGGTTATTTTACACTGAGTTCTTATTAAACCGCTTATTAAAGCGATGTGTGTTTCTACTGATGAGCACACGGTTACTGTTGGACCTGTTGGTGTCGCTAATGCTGTAGTTACTGTCTATCTGTCAAATCCACATCCACTAAATCATTAACGCTATATAATATGTAGAATATATGGGATGTGGCGACAACATTAAGTTAGCATTGGCCAATAATTAGGCTTGTATAATTTAAAAAAAATATATTTTAAAATTAATTGCACATTTCCTGTATGAATTGTTTTCCTTTGTAACATTATAAAATGAATTAAACAGGAGTGTTTTATGCACTTTTATTACAAAGTACTATCACAAAGTGAAATCATATTTAATTTATAAACAAAACCAGTGATGTTCTCTTCACCACTACAGTTGCACAGTATCAGTCAAAATATTTGTTTTTAGTTCTCAAACATTGTTGTCCTGAAATCAAACATAAACCAGTTACTGTATGTACCACTGATGTTAAGGTTTGATTTAGTCTAGAAAAACCAGTTCCTCTTTAGAGTCTGCTGCTATCATCAGAACATTAGAACTACTGGGTCAACGGCAGATTAATAACTGTGTACTGCGAGTGCTAGTACTCAGTGATCAGAAACCTTAAGTTCTCTGTGGTTTTAAAAAAACTTTGGTTTTGTCACCTCCTGCGTTTGGGAGAGATTTAAACAGTAAAAAAAGTTCCTGTATGAGTCCAGTACCTGTCTACACGTTTGTTTTTGGAGCTGTAGCAGTCTTAGCCCCGCCCCAAATCATCTAATTGGTGGATCAACAGCGCCCCCTCAGCCCCATCACAGGTCCTGTCTTTGTGTACATTCAGAGCCAGTGAGCAAAATAATAACAGTATTAACAATAGAAATCACAGCGTTAATGCATGATAACATATATCCAACGTTTTATAGCTAATTAATGTGCTAACCCAATTATAGCGTTTGAAGTTTCCCAGTCGTTATTAAAACATAAAGTATATAGTTTGTCACATGTTGATTCGGCTCAAACAGCAACAACATTTTAGGTAAAACACCTGTTGAACAAGGCCAATGTAAACGAATGTCTCTGTCCAAGAGACACGGCATGAGAGGAGAAATACCAGTCAGACATGTATTTACAACATTCATCTGTTTAAAAGTCAAGACTACTGGGGTTATTACACTGGTGAAATCATGAATTCTTTCTTTCTTTCAATGCAAAAAGAGCAGAGAGAAAATTCTCACATGACTCCACAGGTGAGTCTTAGTCTAAAATATCAGAGATTACTAGTTGTTTTAAATAATACAAAAAAAGTCATGTCAATGCAGTGAATTCCACAGAGGTCACACGTGTCCCTGAACCTGGGCTACACAGCGTCAGTCGACTTCACTCAATACTTGTAACTGTATCCAGAAAATAAATTGTTTCCCTGAAATAAAAAAGAAAATCAATAGTCTCAGAATGAAAGAGGAGACAAAAGAAAATCATGTTTTTTTTTCAGCACTCTATGACCTCAGCACCTTTTGGTCAATCAGTTTGATCAGTTGACCATTGGTCCAAGAACATGTGTAGCTCTGACCATCACACGCTGCTCCCTGATGTTTTCCTACAACAGTTGCAGTGTTATTCTCTCTTGATGACTCATTGGTCAGAGTTGACCACTCACGTAGAGCATGTCAGATCTGTGTTTTACAGATCTAGAAATTTAAACAACAAATGATATTTTATGCTACTGTATATTTTATAATTCTATATTCTACACTCTCATAATCAACAAACTAATACCTGTTTTTGTTCCTTGTTTCTGTGTGGGACAGTCAGGACAGTTCAGTGAAGACATGATTCCCACAGTGGGCTTCAACATGAGGAAAGTGACCAAAGGCAACGTGACTATAAAGGTGGGTCGGCGTGATGTCTGCAGCTGTGGTCTCAACACTCACCGTAAAGGAAGAAACACAAAGTAGTTTCAGGAGAATAAATGTTCACAAAAAACCTTCTTTCTTCATCACACTTTTGGGATTTTTCTCCTGCAGATATGGGACATAGGTGGCCAGCCCCGCTTCAGAAGCATGTGGGAGCGTTACTGCAGAGGAGTCAACGCTATCGTGTGAGTGTGCGGGTGTGCGTGATCTGTCAGAAGGCAGAGCACAGTGGTGTGTGTCCAGTGAGTGTTAATCCATTCTCTCTGCAGGTACATGGTGGACGCGGCAGATCGAGACAAGATCGAAGCTTCAAGCAACGAACTCCACAACCTGTTAGACAAACCACAGCTCCAGGGAATCCCTGTAAGAACAGAAGCTCACCATCACTCCAAACTGAACAGCCAATCAGATCGTAGTTTTATTCACACCAGTCTTGTGCCTCTACAGTGCCTTTATAAACTATAAACTATAAAAAAGAAAAGTCTCCAGAAAGACAAACCAATCATTACAGCTGTGAGGGCTGTTAGTGACTGTGACTCAGAGTGATGTCATGACTCAGCAGATATTTGACTCAGTATAAATTGGCTGACTTTCAGTTGTGTCATCAATGACTGGAACTCTGACACAGGTCAGAGCACGTGGTCCACACAAGTCCTTCAAACGTGAGAGGACACCTCAACACACTGATCAATGTATTGATCAATACACTGATCAATATACTGATCAGCACACTGATCAACATATTTATCAATATATGATCAGTATATGTGATGTACAAATATGCTGCTCAACAAACTGATTAACACACCCATCAATGTATTGATCAAGATACTGATGAGTATTTTGATCAGCACTGAGCAGCTCTTTCTCTGGTCTTTCAGGTCTTAGTCCTGGGTAACAAACGAGATCTTCCTTCAGCCCTGGATGAGAAGCAGCTCATTGAAAAAATGTGAGACTCTTGAAGTTGAGGATTTGATCATGAAGTTAGAACTCACCCTCTGGACGTTGTTTTTGTTCACTGTTATTAATGTTAGACAGAAAGTCAGGCTACGTGTAGACTGTGAATCAGCATCTGCTGTTTGTCTAATCTTTCTTCTGCAGGAACTTGTCGGCCATTCAGGACAGAGAGATCTGCTGCTACTCTGTCTCCTGCAAGGAGAAGGACAACATAGGTGAACATCTGAGCGACGTTAGCCCAAAGAAAATGAAATGCTAACTACGTTAGACTGCAGTCTGTGTGTCGATCCACCACCACTACTACTACTATACTCTCTCTCTCTATCTCTCTCCCCCCTCCCTCTCTCTTCCTCAGACATCACCCTGCAGTGGCTCATCCAACACTCCAAGTCCAGAAGAAGCTGAAGATGGCGCCGTTCCAGGCTCACAGGCCTGCTCTGAGACCTGCCTCCGTGAAGTTTACCCCAGTGCTCCTCCTGCTTTGTCTCCTCCCCCTGCTCCTCCTCCTGCACCACCATACTCTCTGCACCAGTGCAGGGCTGTGGTCTCTGTACAGCACTGCCTCCACCCCCGTCAACTGTCTGGACTTAGAAGGTGGACTGTGGTCATCGCTCGGTGAAGACTTGGACTCTGGTATCTGTCCCCCGTCTCTGTCTCTGTCATGGACTGGCTTTTCACAGCTTTTCAGGTGTTTTCTCTCTTTGTTGCAGATAATTAGAGTCGGTTTTTTGTTGTTGTTATTGTTCTGGTGCCACTCTGAACTCGATTATTGCCAAATGAAGCAGGTTGCACTTGAAGATTTGCCAATGATTGAAAGTTAACGTGTGTTCTTCTGACACAGGCTACAGGTCAGAGGTCAGAGGTCAGAGTGTGAACAGCCATTGTGTTTGTGACACAGCAGCAGGTGTGTTAAGTGCCTTTGGCCGAGTGAAGAAGTGAGTCTCCTGACAACACACTGACATGAACCCCAAACGGTAGAAAATCAAACATCACTAACGCCACCTGTTGACAATCTGATGTATGTTCTCGAATCATGTCGGAAAAACAGACCTGTGTCCACTAGGAGTGAAGCTGTTACATTCAGACCAGCTGCCTGCTGGCCGTGTGTGTGTGTTAGATGTGTGTGTGCGTGTGCCTTTTTTAACAATTACTTTTATCCTGTGACTTTAACTGTCCGCTGACTGTTGTTTTTATGTCTCAGGTTGTTTTAAAAAATGCGTCCTGTTGCTGTTTTGCTCAAGGTTAGAGAACAGAACAGATGACAGTAGTGGAGTTCAGAGCGCGGGACGTCTGATGTCATCCATGTCCTTCACTGGCCGTGGTGTGAGTCCTGGGGCCACAGGTTTAGCCACAGACATGACGCTCTGCCTTTTCTCTGCAGCAGAGTGAACTCTTATCCACTGAGCTCTAAAACCACCTCTGTTATTATGTGTTTGTTTTAGCTCCTTATGTGACACATGTACTGCAGCAGTCTGTGATGGTCGTATAAACCTCCATGTGGGGACCACAACAGCATTGGGGGGGAGGGGTGTATGAGTGGGTGACAGTGTGGATTAATCTGAAGAAAAGCTTTTGTTACCTGTTATAACCAATGAGCAGTTTGTATGTGCATGTACTACACTAACCCACATTTAACTGCAGGCTTTGTAAATAAGAAAATAAGAAAAGATCGTTTTTATTCACTGATTCATGTTGCTGCATTCTTTCCCTGTGATCGCTATTAAATTTGTTTTTTATTTTTACGGATCTTCGTGTCTCCTAGTTTAACCTCGGTTGGTTTAAAGTTCACTCAGTCACTGCTAGATGGCAGCAGAGGCCCTTGAAAGGATACGAGTGCGCTGTTAAGTCGTTTTCTGTAAGTCCACAAAATTAGAAATAATTACAATTATTATTAATAATAGTTCATTATAATAAATAATAACATCAGTGGTGGTGATAATATTAATAGAGTAAAGAGTTATGTCTATTATAACCTGTTTATAACAGTGAATCTACTCATTCTGTGCATTGACATACCACTGAATGGTCACAGGCGGCGCTGTTGGCCTGTGGTTATTTTGACAATTTAGCCCTCCTGAAGAAATGATTGGAGCAAACCTTCATCCAGAGCCCTCTGTTCCCACAATGCACCTGGTCGTTGCATGTTCACACAGAGCAAACGGCTGGCTATAACTTTTAATGGCACTGGTACTTTAAGTACTGTAACTCCCTGCTAACGCTAGGACAAGTGTTTGGAACATGTTGAGAACCAGGGAGCCATAAAACCAATAATGTTCTTGCAGCTCAGCCAGTGCTGTCAGAGCAGGAAAACTTAATTAATCTCATTTCTTACAGGCAGCGTTTAATGAACAGCTGCTGGCACTGGGTGGATGCCAGGCCTGTAGTTAGGAGGTGTGGACAGACGGAGGTGTGAGGTGATGGATTCCACGGGTGAGTCGAGACCACAGCCGGAGTGTGTCGGAGCGGGGATTATGTGTGTGGGTTATAACTGCGGTGACCGCAGAAGAATGAAGTGTTGGTCGCCCTGTAGGATGTATACAGGCGGAGGTCGTGGAGGTGACCCCCAGGTGTGACAGGCTCTCAGTGCAGTTACACTCCATTACCAATAGGCTCATTATGTAATAAGCGTTTTACACATGTCACCTGTCACATGTGTTCACACCATTCAGTCCGTCTGAGTAAACCTGAGTCTGAAACCAGTGCAACGGATCAATGACTTGATGATATCAGTGATCGTGAATGATCTGTTCAGGTGACCTCAGTGTTGGGGCTTTGTCTTCTAGCAGGAAGGTCACCAGTTTGATCCCCAGCACCACCTGCTGGTCCCTTTGTATGGAGTTCTCTATGTGTTTGTGACCCAGTGATGGACTGTCCAGGGTGTGAGGCCGCCCTCCCCTGATGACCCCTGGGATTGACTCCAGCTTCACCCTTGACCCTGAAAAGGACTGAGATGTAGAAGATGGATGGATGGATGGTTGGATGGAGGCCTGACCTGGTCCCCCCACACACACTCAGCAGTATTGGAGGCTGCTGTGTGCCATGCAGTTGTGTATGAACCATGAGACTATCCACACACGCTGGTTACTGCTGAGTTATGGCCCACGCGGGGCCTTGAATGAAGTGTTTGCAGATGCCCGACGCTGCCCCGCCTCCACACCGCTAATCCCCAACCCTTCATTTTTAACAACGTTAGGAAGAACAGAACTGACCTGTGTTCTGTTGAACGCTCCAGGGAGAAACTTCACATCGGTGCCACAGTGTACAGAATACAGTCCCACAAACCACTGAGCTTTCTCTGTCTTATATGTATGCATTCTGGTAAAATAACGATTTGATAATAATAACAATACTAATAATAATTACGAATAATTACTAATAATAATAGTTAAATATCTGGTGGCACTTTGGCCCAGAGGAAATGTCTCTGTCATTGGTGTGGAACCCCAGGGTTCACCTCCTGGGTAAGATCCAATCCCTGTTAGGGCGGTTGGTACCTTCCAGTGGACTCACCACCTGCAGGAAGGTTCAGGGGGGTTGGTACGGTGGAGTGTGATTTGGGTGGAGACTGCTGTCCCCGTGACCTGGTAACGGATAGGCGGACGAAGATGGATGGATGGATGGTAGAATATCTGTGTTACCCAGAACTCCAGCATAAAAGTCTCCATCGTGTGTGTCGCTGCTCTGTGTCAGTCTGATCTGTTCAACTCTTCTCCTTGTATGATTATTATTATTATTGCACCAACAGAACAACCACTGTTGATGTGACAGAGTGTTGGTTGTATTTTTTTGTGGTTGTTTGTAAACCGTGACTTTTTGTCATATTTTGTGAATGTGCTGCTGCAGAAAAACCTCTGGGAACCTCCAAATGTAATAATTCCATTTCCCCTGGGAGGGAGCAAATCCTCGGGGCCTATTCTGTGCTCCAGCCTCCTCTCAGATAGCAGCGTCCCCCGTGGATGCTTTTTTTTTTTCTTGCCCTCACCTCACCGCTTCAGCTCTGACACTTTTTCCTTTTCCCTCTTTCCTCAGATTCCATTAAAAATCCCAACTCCAGCTCCTGGGGCTGATCAAAAAGAGCAGCTAATGCATTTTCTCTGCAGCTCTTATTTACATATAGATTGAGTATTTATCAGTGTTCATTTGAAGGCACAGTCACTGTAGTCCACTTTATTAAAGCATGTTGGACTTCTGTATATTTAATGAAAAGTTGATGTCCTGCCTGTAATTCTTTGAAGCAGTGAATGTGTGGTGTTGAATCCTAATGAAAAGGCTGTGAACAAGTGAACAAGGCTGGACATTTTCTTGTGGACACTGTGTGGACACAGGTGCGGTCATGGTACCTGCCATGTACCAGATATTTAAACACTAGGTTTGGGACTGGTCTGAAAAGACAGTGAGCTGGTCTTCTTGAACGATGACGTGCTGATTTAGTTGTTGAATACCGCGCTGTCATTGGATCTGCTTGAATGTTGTCTAAAGGTCGGGTTTGTCTGAACGTTGAGTTTAGACCAAGACCCGCTCCTGTGGTTCTTAAAGCTACAGTAGCAGGGAACCGTTGTCATTTCACATGGATTCCTTCAGTGGCCGTAGAGTCTGACAGAGAGTATTTGTTCCTGTGAACATCACATTTCTACTTCCTCTGTGTATTTTCTTTAATTGATCATCATTACAACATCACCTGGAACAGCAGGTCTCAAACTCTTGACTTTTTACCCGCTGTCTCCCCGAGTGCCACCAGTCTGACCAACACTACACTGTTCAGATAGGACCAGTTTATGGACTCTGTAAACAGTAACTTTAATAACTAAACAACTCACTATCAGTATCAGGCTCCCTGCCGTACCACTAGAGGGAGTGCAAGTACCACCAATGACATGCCTACCATAGTTTAAGAACCACAGCTCCTAGTAACATATTCACCAGTGTAAAATTGGCCCATTAGGTGGCAGTAATCTTCAGATCTGCAGGTAAAGTTAGCAGGGTTAGCTTGACCTAGCCTCTACCAGCGTACCACTTACACGTGCTCACATAATATTGACTACCACACTGATAACAACCGGTAAACTCTTCATTTGCTAGCGCGCTGGGAAAGCTGCGTGCTAAGTGTCTTCAGTGGTGTCAACAAAAACTAGTTAAAAGTTCTGACCCGGTTCACAGGATCAGGTTTATATAAAACTATGCACCAATATATGTGCATGATGGGTCTGAGCTTTGAAGGTGCGCTTTAGCACCACCTACAGTCATTCTTACCTTGCCTACAATAAGCCACAAAAAGTCATGACTCCCTATGTTGAACCACAGTGTGGTGATGATGTTGATGGGAGAATTACTGTAAAACTCAACTCTTTTAAAAACAAAACAAAAAACAAAGTATTGTGATGATTGTAGCTTCACAATTAGACTGGCTTATTCATTAACAACACACTGGACCCTGGGGGGTCTGTTGAAGACAATGTGTGGTCGGGGGGGCAACATTTGTGCAGAAAATGCGTCTGTTCTGATAAATGTAGTCAAAGAGAATTATCTCCTCTCTCTCTGCCTCCCTCCCTCCCTCCCTCTCGGTCTGTGTGCTAACAGCTTCGGCCGTGGGCTCCAGGAATCTGAGGATCTTTGTCTGCGTGTAGCATCAGGTATGAGTGCGTTGAGAGAACTTCACAGTGGCTGAGTGAGTCTCTTTATTCTCCACTCACCGTGGCTTCCAGGCTGTCAGTGGCTGAAAACCCCGTGGGTTGTGAAAAGAGAGTGTGACAGGACAAATGCATCACTGCAGGCGGGAATTCACGGGGCTGGGAGCTGGGACTGGGTGGGGGGAGGCGGGAGGGGAGGGGTTTAACAATGCAGCCAAATAATATACTGCAAACACAGAGTAGCAACCAAGAGCTGAGGCTGTTTCCACAGCGTGGGCTTTATTTCATGTCCAGACCTATAGGTGCTGGTTTTGTCTTACACTGTACACGGAGACGTTTAGGAGAGAGAACATTTCATTTTTATGTCCCTCTTCCTCTGTGTGATGAGAGTGGCTGCCAGAAAGAGTTGAACATTATTACCACCATCATCAGTCCTCTGAGTGAACCTTAATGAGCCTTGGACTGAGCGCTCACTTCAGGCTCCGCCCACTGACAGCTGGACTCAGAAACCTTTGAAACCGTCTCAGTCTTTTCACCGCTGCAGGTGCTCTGTCCAATCAAGGTTATTGTGATCCAAGGTCGTTCCCCGAAAGTACGCCACCTAGAGTCAGAGTAGACAGGAGCTAACATAAAAGGGTCAGGGTCACTGTCAGGGTCAGGGTCAGGGTTATCTAACCCTACAGGGATAAGGGTTAGCATGGATGAACGGTGATTCAGGAGGAGGCCAGCTGTGATTGGCTGCTCCTCCACTGCCTCACTCCTTTCTACTGCATTAGTTAAAGTGTTTTTTTCTTCTTTCTTTTCCATGAGTGAAGTTTGTAGTGCGTGTCTCTGGGGCAGCGTGATTTACGCTGCTCTTACTGTACACGGTCTCCCCTGTGGTTTGAGCTCCATTAAAGACTGATAGAATGGCTGAGGTTCTAACTGATGAGAAACATCTGCAGCCAGACCTGCCTCAGGTTCAGGATTATTATTAAAAAACTTGAACCACGTCGAACCACCTGCCTGGACGCACACGCTCCCCCACAGGACGCCGACGGAGAAGGGTCCAGAAAAGAGTCTCACAAATGCATTTTAGACGCCGAGCTTCTCGATGACGTTCTTTTTCCTTCCTGCAAC